TAATCCCAGCAATTGGGAGCCAGAGGCAGGTGGTTCTCTGAGTTTGAGGCCAACCAGATCAACAGAGTGAGTTCCAGAACAGTCAAAAGTACACAGAGAAAACATCTGAAAAAATCAAAAATTAAAATTAACAATTAAAAAAAGAGTGAAAAAAGTCATGGAAAATGCACAGTAAGTCTGAGAGCTGTATGCTTTGTATTGTCTTTGAATTGTTTGACTCTTGAGAAAGAAGCAATGTTGTGGGAGTTTGCTCTGTGTGCTGTAATTACCATTAATGAATAAAGAAACTTCCTTGTCCTGTTGATAGGGCAGAACTTAGGTAGGCAGGGAGGACTGCACTGAATGCTGGGAGGAAGATGGGTGGAGTCAGAGACACCATGAAACTGCCACTGGAGGATGATGCTGGAAATTTTACCTAGTAAGTCACAACTACATGGTGACATACATATTAATAGAAATGTGTTAAATTAATATAAGTGTTAGCCAATAAGAAGCTAGAGCTAAAGGTCTAAGCAGTGTTTTAATTAACATAGTTTCTGTGTGGATATTTTGGTTCTAACCTAGACAGAGGCCAGGAACGAACAAGCAGGCCCTCCTCCTTCAGATTGGTACCCTCATGGACAACTGAATCTACTTAAAACCTGAAATAGCTAGAAAAGGAATTCTAGAAACAAAAACATGGAGTTTAACACAGCTTCTTGCTGTTTGATGGAGGCATGCCACATCTCTATTAAGAGAGATTTTCCTTATTCAGCCATAGTAGAAAAAAGTGACTTTCTGGGCTATGCTACCAGTGCGACCTCTGGCTCTGGAGACAGACCATTTGGATGGGGTTTGTGAACAAAGTTTGCTTGCTTGGTGGCAAATGAATCAGCTAAGTGCCAGGAAGTAGGGCAGTACACCCGTGGCTCAGAGACACAAGTGGCTCTGCCATGCTGGACTGGGTGGAGCAAGCATTGTTTTTACTGTATTTAATCTAGTAATGACACAGCTTAAATTTTTAGAAGCGCTTACCCTTTTAAAAAGCATTCTTGGACAGTAAATAATTACAGACATGCAATAAAGACAAATCCAGATGAGTCATACTGCTAGATAAATGTATGTAGACTTGGGAGAGAGAAGAAAAGGAGTATAGAGAGTCATAAAATAAAGAAATGCTTTAAAAAAAGAATAAAACTTTTAAAGAGACAAGAGTACAAACAGTCATAGATTAAAAGGAATAAATAAAGAATAAGCCACATAAAGAAGAAAAATTAACAGAGAGTCTGGATTATGTATATCATTGTGATTTCTTTGAATTTTTTGACTGTGAAGGAGCTAAGTACAAAGAGACATTTCATTGTATGGGCTGCTAAACTAAACCAGCATGTATATTATGAAGGTATCATGACTTCCAAATTTGGCTCTAAGGATATGTTGCTTTGGAAAAAAAGGTTTCTCTTCTGTTTCCACAGAGGATGAGCATCTGTGGAATCCTTCCAGACAAATATTTGATAGAGCACAACCTCCTGAATGATTGCTGAGAACAGCCCCCCCAAAAATTACTTTGCTCAAAATTATTTTGCCCAACTTCTGACTAAGATGAATCTAGCACACAAGATACACAACGAAAGACCTGATTAACAATGCCCCAAACAGCAGGAAGTAGTATGGCCAGAACTACACCCATATTCCCAAATATTGTTTATAATTTTTTGTTTAGATTAAAAGGGGGATATGCTATAGATATGAATATTTTGCATTGGTATAGATCTTGGTTTACTGATACAAATTTAAGGTCAATCTTGCTATATGTATACTTCTGATCTTGATTAAGGTATTGTGATTGTGTAACTCATAAAAAATGTAATGTATAATTAATAATTTATTAATTTTAGATTGAAATATATTTAGTTAGATATTAGGATAGCTAAACCAGCTTGCTTCTTATGTCCATTTAATTTTAAAATCTTGTTGCCAATACTTTACTCTGAGTTAATGTCTCCCATTGAGGTTGTTATGTGTATGCAGCGGAAAGATAGATCCTGTTTTGGTAAACATTTTGTATAGCCTATGCCTCTTTATAGGTGAATTACATCCATTGATATGAAGAGATATTAATGACTAGTGATTGTTAATTCCTGATATATTTTTGGTTTTGTGGTGGCAGTGGTAGTGTGTGTGTGTTTCCCACTTTTGGGTTTTGCTTGTGTAAGATTATTTAATGTCTGAGTTTTGTGGGTGCAGCTAGCCTCCTTGGGGTTTTCCTTCTAGTACTTTATGTTGGGCTGCATTTGTGAATAGATAAATTGCTAAAATGTATTTCATTCATGGAATATCTTGTTTTCCATGTATATTTCCATTGAAAATTTTGCTGAGTATAGTAGTCTGGGTGGGCATCCATAGTCTCTTTGTATCTGCAGAAGGTCTAGAACCTTCTGACTTTTAAAATCTCCATTGAAAAGTCAGATGTAATACTGATAGGTCTGCCTTTTTATATTTTTTGGCCGTTTTTCTTTGTAGAACTTAATATTATTCTTTATTCTGTATCTTCAGTGTTTTGATTACTATATGATGAGGGGACTTCTTTTCTAATCCAGTTTATTTAGTATTCTGTAAGTTTCTTTTATTTTCATAGGTATAGCCTTCTTTAGTTTGGAAAAACTATCTTGTATGGTTTTGTTGAATGATATTTTCTGTGCCTTTAAGGAATTCTCTTTCTCCTATCCCTAATATTCTTAATTTTGGTCTTTTCATGGTGTCTCAGATTTTCTGGATGTTATGTGTTAAGAATATTTTGGATTTACATTTTTCTTTACCGATAAATCTATTGCTTTCTTCCATCTCCTGTATTGTACTGGAGATGTTTACATCTGTAGCTCCTGTTTGCTTACCCACATTTCCTATTTTCAGAAATTCTTTAGCTTGTGGTTTCCTTATTGTCTTCATTTCAATTTTCAAGTCTTGAATGGTTTCCTTTAACAGTTTGATTGTTTTTCCTTGACTTTCTTAAAGACATTTCTTGATCTCTTCCAGTTTTGTTTGTATTTTCCATGATTCTTTAAGGGAATTTTTCATCATCCAAGTCCTAAATCATCTTTATAGAGTTATTTTTAAGACTTTTACTTCTTTGTCATCTGCATTGGGATTTTCAGGTGTTGTTGTTGTAGGACCAATTGTTCTTTGTAGAGTCATATTGACCTTTATGCTATTTACACTGGCATTTACCCATCTCTTATACCAAATGTTGCAAGTGGTGCTTGTGCTTATTGGGGCTGTTGTACTTCCAATCATTGTGGGAGGCACTTGAGCCTATAAGGTCTGCTGATATTTCCAGAGAGGGCTGTCCACATGGATGAAGCTGGGGATGGTATGCTTGGTTGGCAGAGGAACCAGCAGCTTTGTTGAGCCTGACATGGAAGGGGAAGGGCACAGAATGTGCCCTGGGGTTTAAGGCCTAGGAATTTGGGAAGTTCAACTGGGAGATCAGTCATTCACTTTTTCTTTCAACTGGTATACATGGTGCTCATGCCTGCCTATAAGTGCTGTTGACATTGCAGGCCAAGTGTAGGATGCTAGATTATGTGGCAGTGGGTACCAGAGTGGTTCTTTTTGGAGCAGATTCCAGTGAGAAACAACACTGATGGTGTAACATTACCATGGCATTTGATCAAGTCTTAAAAATGTTCCAAAAATAATCGATAAAATAAACAGCTCTCAAAAGAATAATCACAAATAACTAAACCCTTTGTTAAAAATTTACAAAATCAATTGGCATCAAAACATGTCAAATTAATTTTATTTTGATATTTTGACTCATCCCAGTAAGAAGGGCCTTTATATACAAAATAATTGAAAATAAATTCTGGTGAGAAACAGGGCAGTTGTATGCATTTCTGTTCATAGGGAGGTGTAAAATTATTGAAATGGCTCTCAAAAAGATATAAACATATGTTGGATGTTTGGAAGATACTACTAGGTATATAATCAAAGGAGTTTATATGCTTTGGTAGAGACACATACACAATTGAGTTCACTGATGCTCTCCACAAAAGCTAGAAGATAGAATTACCAGAGATGTCAGTGAGCTAAAAAGTAAGTAACAGATACCTAAAATGAAGTAGATATGCACAAGATAATTTTACCCACTATTAAAGAAAACTTGAGATGTGAAATTTGCAGTAAAAACCCAACATTAAAAATATGTATAAACTAAAATAATTGAGGATCTTAAAAAAAGCCAAATATTCTCTCTTGCTTCAATATTATAGCTGTGTATTAATTTTTGTGTTCAATATGGAATGATTGTAGCAATGAGCAAGAATCTTATAAAATGTGCCACAGAGTGCAAGAAGAGACCTGAACAAAAGAAGGTTGTCGAAATGGTGCAGAATGAGAACGGAGCTAAGCAAATTATGCTGTAATAAGATGTGAACAGGGAAGGTGTAGAAGAGAAGGTGATAAGTAGAGGTTGAATATTAAACTAAGATGCAACAAGAAGATATATGGAAGCATATTACTCTAGAAACTAATTAAAGTATTTTTATTTTTTAAAATATTTTTAAAGTAAGTGTGAATGTAAGCAGAATTCGTGGGTGAGTAATTCGTATTTCAGAAATCATGAGTCATCAAATGACAATTATAGTTCCATGTGTGGGATATTTCTCTATAAATTGCTGATCAGTAAGACTTCAGAAGCCCCAAAACAACATAGACTGTTTCCCTTGTTCTTGGATGCCCATCAGAATCAACTGGGAAGACCTAATTCCTGAATATACTAAATACCATGGTTGTAGGACATAGAGAAATCAAGCTGGGACTTAAGTAGAAGCTTCCTCTTTCCCAAAAGGTATTCATAACTCTGAAAAATGTTATACACGATGATGGGACAGAGAAAATTATGATTTCACTCAACTGTGTAACTTGTAAGATATGCCTGCTTCTATATTAGTGACATGACTGTTATGGGGGTAATCAACTAATTCTGGTTAACTTTAAAGCCTACTTCAAAGATAGAGTTTATGCCAAGTACTGTAAGCCTGGTAAAACATCCATGGTCAATGAAGTCATAAGCCATGGGAAAAAAAGATCTTACCATTGATGCTGAATTTAAGGATAATCAAAGTGATTCTAAATCTTCATGATTATATGCATAAACTAATACTATTCTCAGTCAAAATAAGAGAACATTTTCTTCATTAAATAGTGGTGAATTTAGAGTCTTATGACTACTGAAGGTACTGGATATCAGTGATGGTTGAGTGCACAGACTTATACAGCACATTCATACAACACTTTAGACTCAGGTAGCATTACTATAAAGAGGCCTAAATATTGTAAGAGTCACTGGGCATACTGGCACATGCTTTTAATACCAGCAAAAGAGGAAGAGGCAGGCAAATCTCTGAGTTCAAGGCTCGCCTGGTCTACAAAGTGAGTTCCAGGGAAGCCAAGGCTACATGGAGACATCCTGTCTCAAAAAACCAAAAAAGAAAAAAGAAATGTATAAGTTTGTGATATCCATAGGATAGGGAGAATGGCTGTGGAATATTAGTGGGGCGTGTTGGCACATCCACTGCAATTATACACTCCGAATTTCTCTGGTTACCTGAACTAGGTCTGAACAAGACAGGCCATGCCAAGTCATATATGGTAAGATAAGAAGTTCACATAATCCCAATTTACCTGGTTGTGTGTAAACTACTGATGAGTGTTTAGGGTGGTTGTGGAAGCCCAAAAATATGAGCCTATTTCCAAGTAGGCCAAAGGTCAGAGAGTTGGAATTTACCTCTATTCCTTCAAGGTTATTGTGTTTCTACCTCAAACAAAGGTCCCACTTAGATTTAGAGCAGATAGTTCTGCTCTCTCAAGGTTATTGTTAGCAGGTGTGGCTAATGGCCAGACTTTGTATTTCAGAAATAGAGAAGTACATATTTCTATCTAAAACAAGAGCCTAGTATCTGACTTACTGTTCATTCAGTTCCTTTATATAGATATTTTTGAATTCCACCCAGGGAGTGGTTTACCTATGAAATATTTGGGTCTAGGGTGTGAACATGTCTTGTTTTTCTCTAGCAAGAGAATATTTAACTATGGATGTAGCCCACAATCTTCAATTGGTCTGTTTATTTCCTTGTATTATGATGAGGCAGTTTTTGTCTTACTCCTACCTTTTAGGGTCAGGGGTATTTTAAGCATTTGAAAATTAAATTCATGAGAATTCCAGTATTCAATGGAACTCCCTCCCAATGCTCTCCTATGTGTTTCTCCATTTTATTATTTTCATTCACATCTTCATATTCTTTACTAATATTTTCTAAATCCCCATGCCTTTACCCTGGATAGGGGTATTTTTGTCAAGGCTGGTCCCTAACAGTTGGAAAAGTTTTTGTCTTCAGTTTAGTAACTAACAGTCACCTTACCAGATGCTAGTAGTTATATCTATACTTGTGGTCACCAGGATGATCCTGGTTTAACTCAGTGGGTCACACAAAGATAAAGGAGAAGGTGGAGTATGATGAGGAGAATAAGAAGGAGGATGAGGAGGAGGATAAGGAGAGAAAAGGAAGAAAGAAGAAGAACAGAAGGAGGTAGAAATAAATTTTGCAAAAAGATTAGTAGGTTTAAATGGAGACTGTTTATTCATTTCCTGACCAACTGAATATTCACACAGACACTGTATTAATTATAACACAGTTTGGTCAATGGCTGAAGTATATTTCTAGCTAGCTCTTATTTCTTAAATTAACACATTTCTTTTAATTTATGGATCGCCATCAGGCTATGGCTTACCAGGTAAGGTGCTGAGTTTCTGTCTCCTTTGGAAACTACATGGCATCTTTTTGACTTGACCTACTCTCTCTTTATCTCTACCCACCTGTCTATATTCTGCAACTTTATTGGCCAAAGCAGATTCATTCATTAACTGATAAATGCAACACCTATACAGAAGTGTTGGTACTCAGGTTTTTTCCCCTTTGCTCGAGGTACTATGCAGGGCCGTTTTTTCTGACTTCCTTGCTTCTCTGCTCACTGCACCAGCCTGGGGAATTAGCTTAGAGAGAACTTGGCCCTCTTTTGTTATGGTAATTCCACCTATAAGTAAGGTTCCCGCCATGGGGCCTAATACGTCTGCCACCGCAGCTGCTCTCTGGTCTTGGGTGCCGGACACCTGACTTCCTCTCCCCCTGTTCCGGATGGAAGGGGCTTTTGCCCTTTTGCCCTTTTGTCCCCTTCGTATATATACCTTACTTGAGCTTAATAAAGTTACCATTTACTCTTTTGGTGAATGAGCCTGGTTTCTCTGTGTGTCTGTTCAACTCTTAGGATATTTATCCATTCTCGTGGACCTGATTCGGGAAGGCGGGCACCTGAATCAGGTGTGGGAATTCACAGAAAAGTGCAGCCAACACAGAAGGACATTTTACATTGTCTACCCTTTTCTATCTTAATAAAAAATAAGGTTTTAACTTTAACATAGAAAAATTACACATAGTAGAACAGTTATAAAGCAAGAATTGCAGGTACACTATTTCCCTGTGAGTCTAAAGTTTCATACCTGATTTATCTTTCATCATAACTAAGGAAAATTATAACTGTCTTTAACTCCATCAAAGACCATAGAAGAATATAATATTACCTAAGTTAACAGGAAGTGCATTGGAAGCAACTTCTAAATTTCTAGAAATGACAGAGGCATATTATTGCCTGGATAGTCACCCAAAATTATTCCCTAAGTTTGGGGCATCCATCTTTAGACTATAGGCCTAAGGTATCCCACAGAATTTTCAGTGAAGCAGAAAATTTGGAGATCTGTCCTGTCTTATAATTGCAAATTTTGTCACTTCCTTTCTTCTGTATCCTGCAGAGTGTCTGTCAGTTTCTTCTGTGAAACAAGAACCTTAAGGAGCATTCCATCTTTTGGAAAGTTAAGCAGTCATATTTCTGTGGATCCTGCTTGTCCGGTTCATACAGCATACCATTAAACATTCACAGCAAGAATATTTTCTTGCTAAAATGGCAAGCCTTGTCATATTGGAGGCAAATTCTATAATGAGTTTCTTCAATGCCCATCAACCTCTGTAAAGTAATTTGTGCTGCCAAAAATATGTCATTGTTGAGAAAAGTCTATTCTTTCAAACTTTAAGAGCCATATTCTATAGGTCTTTGAAGCATTGAAGATTATCTATCTAACTGTGCTATATTTCTGTATATCTAGAAAACCTATCTAACATGCATGTCTAGAACTATCCCCAGGGCCCTGCTTGTTTGATCCACTCAGTCCAACATGGTGGAGGCATATTCACCACCTGTGTAAGCTGTGCTCATTGACCCAGTTCCAGGGATGCGGTGGGTCTATGTTGTCATTAAGCAATTTGTAACATACTGCTCAAAAACCCCATCTAAGTGATCTGTGACTATACCACTATGAACTAGGATATTATTTACAACAGTTCTTGGTGAATGGCATATTATGAGCTAGCTCTTATATCTTAAATTAATCTGTTTCTATTCATCTGTGTATTGCCATGAGGCTATGACTTATGAGTTAAGGTTTTGGGTGTCTGTCTCCTTTGACAACTCCATGTTGTCTCTTTGATTATGCCTCCTTTCTCTCTCCATGTCTTCCAGCCTAGATATATTTAGCCCTTCCATATACCAGGGAAGTGTTATTCATTAATTAATAAGTGCATCGCATATACAGAAAGACATCCCTCATGAAGTAGGAAGGTTGGGTTTAACATGTGTTAGGGAAAATGTAAGAGAAGATGTCAGTGAGAACAGTGATAATAGAACTGGAGATCTGGTTAAGCACCATTAACTAGGCTCACAATCAAAACAAAGAGTAACTAGCATTTTTATGTATTAAATTGTCAAAGACTTAATTGGATTACTGAAAAGAAGCAAGATAAATATCCTGCACTTGGTAATCCAAGGTAGGAAGATAAGGAGTTCAGCTAATTCTCTGCTTTATAGTGAGTACAAGACCAACCTAAGCTACATGAGATTATATATTAAAAATAATAATTGCAATAATTTAGAACTAACCAATTTAATGGATAATTAAATGTTGAATCACCAATAATACAAAGGGATATGTTTAAAACCCACTCCTTGTGGAAGTTTGTTTTGTTTGAAGCAAGACTCCACAAACTAGCCATGCAGGTAAGTATAACATGGAGACGAGTATAATATGGAGATTTGTAGAGATTCTGCAAAGCTCAAAAGCTCCCGTAAATGTAGAAGAAAAAGTTTTTGCAGTTATATTTTAAAATGTTGGCAATTAGTTGCCTTCATTGGTTTAGGTATTAAGCAATTTTTCAGAAAGAGTATCACATTGGTAAGAATCCAAGTATACCCCATGTCCTATTTATCATAGGAGAAGCTACATTCTATTGTTCAAGCTAGAATGAGGACACTGTAGCTTATATGGCATTCAGTATTCTTAACAAGTGTTATATAGGGATAGGAATCTACTACATGCTATCTTTCCATGCTTGGGGAATTCTGTTTTCTATTGAAGACTGGGTAAGTCATACATATTTTTCCAAAATACTGGATTCTAAGAAAGTTTTTCCATCAAAGAGATAATTAATTCCTGAGAGAGAAATCACAGTAGCAAGATTGTTGGCATTCATAGAAACTTCCTTAAATACCCTTGTAATGCAGGATACAAATGCTGTATCATTGCACATCACATATCCATAGAAAGATTCACCATGAGTAGAGTAGGTTCTATAGAAGCTTTTATGCAATCTTGCCAGCCCCTGCCTTTTAGAATGAAGGACTGTATCAGAGAATAAAGATCATCTCTACGTAGTGTACTAAAAGAATTCATTGTATGTCAAAACCCCATATAGTCATGGAAATGTTTTTACATTTAAGAAAGAGGAAAGGATTTTTCTATGGAGACACTATTTAATACCTGTTTGGATGTCTGCAAAGGTGTCAAGATTGCACACTGAAAATCTACTTTCCCGGTGTCTTCTGAACACTCAAAGCTCATACTGGAGCTGGATCTGTGATGGAATATCTTTAACAACTGCTGATGATTAGTTGATACTGTGACTTTTTGTATACAGAAGTTAGTTTTTGTATACAGGAGTTAGTTCGATTTGTCAGGTAAAGACAGAGTACTTCACCCTCACCCTAACTTTTCACAATATTTGGTAAGTATTCTGCATTTACTTAAAGTCATACAATTTGAGACCCATAGATTAATAAGTAAATTATATCTCATTAGATCTATCACTGTTTTATCTTGAGACACATCTTTTAACAACTAAGGCTAATCAGTTTGGCTTGACCACACACTGAAAATTCTAAATATAAATATTAAGTGAGTAAATATATGCTTATGATTCCAAGTACAGGAACAGATAATTAATTTGGGGATTATGTTTTATGGATATTTCAAGTCTATGTAGCTTCTTTGAAGTATTAAAAGGATTCCTCCTAAGTTGTTGAAAGGTTAAATGTTTCTCGATATTGGTGCCCATGTTATCAATTATATTTATCTGGTAAATGCATTTATACTTTAAGAAATAAATTATAGCCATGTAGTTGTTACTAAATGCCTCATTCATACTTTCCCATTGTATCAAATTTTCATAGCATATAATGTTATACCATTATTATTATTATAATTTTATAGACTGAAGGGGAGGGAGGTGTGTGAATTGCCAGGAAATAAATCCAAGGTGAGTGACTAGAAGAAGAACTAGAATTCTCAATGTTTTCCTATAATTCATGAATTGAAGTACTAGATCACTGTTGTAGCACATTTCCCCAGTGTTCCCAAGAGTTTTGCAACCTCTCCTATATAGTGATATATAAGAAGAGTGATCAAAAGATGTGCTAAGATGAAAGAATTCTTCCAAGAATACAGAAACACTCATTGTCTTATTGAATGAAGTGTCAAATCATTATGCACCACCCTATGATCTAGCCTATCTATATATGTTCATCAAGGGAAATTGTTTCTAAAATGATATACTAGTAACTCATTATGCTATATTTGAAGTAGTTTATAGACCAACATTTGTTTAACATAATAAAATGGTTATATAGTTGAATGATTTGAAGCATTTAATACTTTAAAACTGGAAGATAAAAATAGAAGAAAGAAGCAAAGTAGCATAATTAACATTGCCATTTTATCTGTTTATATGAGGAAGGAAACATAATTTCTTTGTTATAATATTTCAAAGAAGAAAACATGACAATTTGTAGAAAAAAATATTCCAACAGTCTCTTTGGTGTATACCAAGAACTGAACCAACAAGTGTTTTAAAAAAACAATTAGCTAACAGCCAATGTTTTGTGATCTCATTTAATGCTTTTGTTTTTATACCTAGAGAGCAGTACTTTTCTCTTAATTGATAAAGAATAACAACAATGCTGGCTATTTAAAGTGCTAAAGGCAGTTCTGGGTGCAAGGCACATAGTAGCTATGGCAGGAATACGGTCTTGTTATGAACTATTTCAGAATTATCATGTAGGCTTAAGCATTAAAGATTCTTTCACAATAACCCATATTTTCTCTGTACCCTCAGCACTATCTACCCTCAACTTTTTGCATCCGTTTCTGTTCTGCTTTGTTGCTTTATATTGTTGTTGCAATTCCATATAACATGGAATTTGGACATGGCTCAAAATATTTGGATTTTCACAAGTAATTTAAAAATGGTGTCATTACTAGTCTATTACTAGAACTTCTTCTCCAACATCTACTGCTATTAGCTTCTCTAGCCGCTACTAACTAGGGAGTGCCAGTGTGTTTAAGTCAAGGCCAATGATCAGTTTATGATGTTAGTGTCCATGTTTCTTTCTTACTTGAGTTCACTAATACATTTCTACTCAAATCATGATTTAACTTTTCTTCCTGTCCATTTCCTATAAATAAGCTGTAAATATTTTCACTTTACTTTAAT